TGTTGCTTTGCCGTAATCCTTGCATTTTTGCCAGAGACTAGAGTTGAATTCTCGGCGATTCGATTGCTTAAGAGCTTACATTATAAAAATATCCTGTTAGAGACGATGTCGAAAATGCCTGATTGTGGTCGTTGAAGAAGATTTGATCTGCTTGGATAAAATTAATTGTTTAACTATGCCACTATTTTAAATGCCGACTGTCGAATTCTTAATTGTTCACTTGTTGAAGTTTATTTTAGTTGTTGTTCAAAGAGTACCGCCAAACAGGGTAGGCCTAATACGGGACAGTTTTGAGTGTTTTTTGTTGATAACTTCTTACCATGGAACATTTCATAAACAAGTTTAAGCTCATTTTATAGCTCTTTGCAAGGGCATCTTCAGTAAAATTCCTGATGCTATTCATCAGGTGCAAGACCGAGACTCAAAATAAAACTGTCCCAAATCACCCCTGGCCACTGGGAATGGGGTATTTAGGTATTTGGGGGTAATCCGGGACACTTGAAAGTTGAAATAAAACTTAATTTTAAAATGTTTGAAGCATGCAGAGCAGCAGTCCAGCAAGAGCAGAGTGTAGCTAGAGTAAACATGGTATATTCCGACACTCTAACTCTAAGGACGTTGCAAAATATGAATGACTACCTATAAAAAATACACCAAACGCCCAACTCAAGTTCTGTTTGCTTTACGTCACTCTAAAAACACCGCACTACGCATTAGCAACAATGAAACGTCACAAAATATTGCCATATTTATTTAAAAGCCTTTAGAATGCAAACCTACCAAATCCATATATTCTGACACTGAGTGTGAGTGTGTGACTGTGACTAAATTCGGCATTTTGACACTAATTCCGGCCGTGCTTGAAACTCTACTAATTTGTAATGCCGACACTATTGTGTTCAAATTCCGATCGCTGTGTGAACTGTATTGGAATACAACAGCTTACAATTAGAACACTATTGAATATTGAACACTACTTAATTAGGCTTTTAATTATGAGCTATTAAGCTTTTAATTAAGAAAATTTTAATTTTTGCACACAGCTTGGAACAAGCTGTGAGTGTCTAATTCCAAGCTGTGTTGAAAGTGAAATTTTTTTGCTGAGCAAGGTAAATGTTCTGAAAATTATTTGTTGTTAATCAATATTTTTGTTAACTGGAGCCTTTGCTAACTGAGGTTAAACGGTAAATGCGTTTTTAGGGGTGTTCCTGAATCCTTATTACCCCCAATCACGTTTTCAAGCCAACACCTGTGTGCAACTTTTATGTAAGTAAAATTTTTTAATATGACAAATATTTACTTGCTCCAGACCTTAGTAAAGGGACCTACTTTTCCAAAACCGCTTTTTTTACACTTTTCTTTCATTATGGGACACCAGGTCATTATGGGACACCAGGCTAAGGCCATGCTGAAAGCTCCACCTCTCATGACTACTAAGCACCACCCACTCCCTGTGAAAAGTGACGGAATATAGGGATTTGGTAGGTTTCCATTCTAAAGGCTTTTTAATAAATATGGCAACATTTTGTGACGTTTCATCGTTGCTGACGCGTAGTGAAGTGTTTTGAGAGTCATGTGAAGGCAACAGAACTTACGTAATGCATACGGTTTTTTTTATAGTTTTTCATTTCTCGATGCGGGCTTAATGTGTCGGAATATACCGCGTTTACCCTAATGTCAAAAAGGGTAATATAAGGGACAGTTTTGAGCGTTTTTTGTTAATAACTTCTTACCATGAAACATTTCATAAACAAGTTTAAGCTCATTTTATAGCTCTTTGCAAGGGCTATGAAATGGCATCTTCAGAAAAAGTCCATATGCTATTCATAAGGTGTCAGACCGAGACCCAAAATAAAACTGTCCTAAATCACCCCTGGGAACAGGGTATTTATTTGGTGGTAATCCGGGACACTTGAAATAAAACTCAATTTTAAAATGTTTGAAGCATGCAGAGCAGCAGTCCAGCACTCACCAGCAGAGTGTACTCGTCCATTAGTACTAACAGTACTCTGAAGTCCTTCTCTTTCACTGTAGATGATGTAGATGTAGAATAAATGACAGTTTCTGTGTTTTTTGTTTATATTTTATTGATATGATATTACTATATTTATTCATTACCATATTATTGATGTGATATTACAGTATCGATAAACATGCCATTGAGCATTTACAACAACTTTGTCCACTGCAAGCTTCATATTAGCAGCCTTGTAGGTTATAGCCTTTCTTCTGTATCTGTAAGCTTAGAGGACGGCTTGTAATTTCACACCATTTTAATTGTGTTAAGTGAATTCACTATAAAAAAATCGTAAAAAACGTACCTGAAACAGAAAGGAATGTTTTAGAAACAAACATCATATGTTTTGGAGAAATAAAACATAGTTCAGGTTAATTGCTTTTCATTCTATGATGCCCAGTGCATTATTCTATATATGACATTTTGTGCACATTTTTGTGATGACCTATGATGCACTAATTTCTTGATAAGTGAAATTTCTTTTTGCTGAGCAAGGTAAAGGTTATGAAATTCTTTGTTGTTAATCTTGTTAATCAATATTTTTGTTAACTGGAGTCTTTGCTAACTGAGGTTAAATGGTAAATGCGTCACCTGTGCGCAACTTTTATGTAAGTAACATTTTTTTATATAACAAATATTTATTTGCTCCAGACCTTAGTAGAGGTGCTTTTCCAAAATTGCACTTTTCACACTTTTTCTTGGCGATTATTTAGAGATAGTAAATGTATGATTTCTTAATTAGCTTTTTACATACCGTAAAATGGGGTAACTTAGACCGGCGGGGTAACTTAGACCACTTTTCGTTTTTTTAACAAAAACCCCCACAACTCAAAAACTATTTGACATAGAAAAATTTTGTCAATGGGCATTAAAGGCCTAATACTGAGGCTACATAACACAATNATTGAAACATGCAAAATACAGGTCTATACTCTAGCTTCACTCACCATAAATTGCTGGCTCCTGCCTCTCATAGTTTTGATGTAATTTCAAAAAAAGTGATGGTCTTTGTTACCCCAGCTCTTGGGGTTTCTTTGACTGGGTGGTAAAATAAATTTTATTTTTTTGGTAAAATAACTCCAAATAACTCCACATTTTGGTGCATTGTAGTAGAACTCTTCTAGTTACATATGCAAATGACAAATTTTAGGAAAGTGTCATAGTTTGCAAATTGGGGCGCCGTGACGGGGTAACATTGACCGGCTTGGAAATTAAGTTAAAATTACCATATATAAGACTGTAGAGTCTGAAATATAAGGAAAAAACATTAATAGGTGTATCAAACATAAAATATGTTATATAGATACCTATGGTAATTTTAACTTAATTTCCAAGCTGGTCAATGTTAACCAGTCATGGCTGCCATTAGGTGGTCAAAGTTCCCCCATTGGGGGGCAGCGCCCCCCATTTGCAAACTATGACACTTTCCTAAAATTTGTCTTTTGCGGTATGTAATTAGAAGAGTTCTACTACAATGCATAAAAACCTGGAGTTATTTTACCAAAAAAGTAGAAAAAATTGGAGGGGGTACTCTGACAGGCTTTGAATATTTGCTCTTTTTTGTGGGTCACATTTTTAATTTTTTAACCTATTAGATATGCAAACTTTTTAAATCTTTCTATTGTGTTACATAGCCTCAGTATTAGGCCTTTAATAGAGATTGACAACATTTTTCTATGTCAAATAGTTTTTGGGGTTTTTGTTAAAAAAACAAAAAGTGGTCTAAGTTATCCTGAGTGTCAAAGTAACCCCATTTTACAGTAGTTGAATACAATTGGTATATTGTGCAGGTATACCATTTAACTGGTGGGAATTGAGGGCAAGATTCTGTCTCAAAATGGAGCTTGGCTAATCTCATTCCATAATATCATGTCATGTAACACATGAAAGGGACACCAGGTCATTATGGGACACCAGGTCATTATGGGACACCAGGTCATTATAGTGTTGGGGGTCAGCCCCTCTAAAGGTCAACGGTCTGGCCGGTAGAGTACCAGCACAGGGAACAGAATAAAATCAAACTCAGGAGATCAAACAGAGGAAGAACCAGGCAAAAATATATTAAATAGAATCAGTGGTACATGACGGTGAAATATGATGGTTAGTAGGTTAGTGAAGATGAGACAGCCCAGGGCTATGAGTGATGGGGTGAACCTAGCATGAGTACATAAATAACCAGCAGCCCAAACTGGTTTGAACAGTAAGGAACATACAAGAATACATGGTAAATAAACTAAACTGGGCCAGAATAATGATCAGTATCCTAAATCTAATCAAGAATAATGAAACTAAGGAATCAAGAGCTCAAAACAGGCCCTGGGTCAGGCCTGGTCCATCAAGTGGTGTCCGCACCAAAGAAACAAGACGGCGGTGGTCTTACTTGTGAGTATCAGTGGGGTAGACTCAACTGTCACGTTAGGGCAGCTCTGACATGAGTTGCTAGACAGGACTTAAAGGACATCCACGCTGGCCTCTAGTGTCAGCTCGAGTAGCTGAAGAGCAGCAGGCCAAGACCCGACTGCAATGTGGCTCAGTGAGTCCAAAGCTTGCCTGTCACTTCTCAAACTGGTTCCAGACTTGCCTGGAAGCCAGAATGCGCCCCAAATTTTGCCCAGAAGATGCCCCACGTTGGCGGCTCTGCAAAAGTGCAGGAACAAGAACACATAAAACCTATCCAACAATAACACTTGGAAGTTGAAACACATAAGTACACTAGGAACACATAAGAACAAATTGATCTACCTAATGCAAAACAATTTTAATAATCGATACTCTTTAAACATGTTTTGAATGCAACGTAAGCGGGACCGTAAATAGAACAATGAACGGCTAAAAATATTGTAAGAAGAGTCCGAATGGACGATATTATGAAACACCAGTCTCGGAATGGAAGATTATTAAAAAAACAATAGTGTTGTTTTGATATTTCTGAAGACTTATCTGCGCTTTAAGATCAACAAGCCCTTCAGTTGTTATCTGTCGCTTAGTACGGCAAGGTGTGATCGCCACGATGTCCGGTGAAACAACCAATACCGTAGAAATAGTAAAAGGCCAGGCCTTCGAAGTTGGGCCTAGGTATACAAATCTTATGTATATTGGAGAAGGTGCATATGGAATGGTTGTGTAAGTATATTTTATTGTATCATAGTTCACATAAAAATTTTGTAAATCATTACGTGATTTACGTCGATCTTCTCCCGACTTGGTATTCTAAATACGTCGTAATCTGTGAATTACCTAGCTATGTATGTTGCTTTGCCGTAATCCTTGCATTTTTGCCAGAGACTAGAGTTGAATTCTCGGCGATTCGATTGCTTAAGAGCTTACATTATAAAAATATCCTGTTAGAGACGATGTCGAAAATGCCTGATTGTGGTCGTTGAAGAAGATTTGATCTGCTTGGATAAAATTAATTGTTTAACTATGCCACTATTTTAAATGCCGACTGTCGAATTCTTAATTGTTCACTTGTTGAAGTTTATTTTAGTTGTTGTTCAAAGAGTACCGCCAAACAGGGTAGGCCTAATACGGGACAGTTTTGAGTGTTTTTTGTTGATAACTTCTTACCATGGAACATTTCATAAACAAGTTTAAGCTCATTTTATAGCTCTTTGCAAGGGCATCTTCAGTAAAATTCCTGATGCTATTCATCAGGTGCAAGACCGAGACTCAAAATAAAACTGTCCCAAATCACCCCTGGCCACTGGGAATGGGGTATTTAGGTATTTGGGGGTAATCCGGGACACTTGAAAGTTGAAATAAAACTTAATTTTAAAATGTTTGAAGCATGCAGAGCAGCAGTCCAGCAAGAGCAGAGTGTAGCTAGAGTAAACATGGTATATTCCGACACTCTAACTCTAAGGACGTTGCAAAATATGAATGACTACCTATAAAAAATACACCAAACGCCCAACTCAAGTTCTGTTTGCTTTACGTCACTCTAAAAACACCGCACTACGCATTAGCAACAATGAAACGTCACAAAATATTGCCATATTTATTTAAAAGCCTTTAGAATGCAAACCTACCAAATCCATATATTCTGACACTGAGTGTGAGTGTGTGACTGTGACTAAATTCGGCATTTTGACACTAATTCCGGCCGTGCTTGAAACTCTACTAATTTGTAATGCCGACACTATTGTGTTCAAATTCCGATCGCTGTGTGAACTGTATTGGAATACAACAGCTTACAATTAGAACACTATTGAATATTGAACACTACTTAATTAGGCTTTTAATTATGAGCTATTAAGCTTTTAATTAAGAAAATTTTAATTTTTGCACACAGCTTGGAACAAGCTGTGAGTGTCTAATTCCAAGCTGTGTTGAAAGTGAAATTTTTTTGCTGAGCAAGGTAAATGTTCTGAAAATTATTTGTTGTTAATCAATATTTTTGTTAACTGGAGCCTTTGCTAACTGAGGTTAAACGGTAAATGCGTTTTTAGGGGTGTTCCTGAATCCTTATTACCCCCAATCACGTTTTCAAGCCAACACCTGTGTGCAACTTTTATGTAAGTAAAATTTTTTAATATGACAAATATTTACTTGCTCCAGACCTTAGTAAAGGGACCTACTTTTCCAAAACCGCTTTTTTTACACTTTTCTTTCATTATGGGACACCAGGTCATTATGGGACACCAGGCTAAGGCCATGCTGAAAGCTCCACCTCTCATGACTACTAAGCACCACCCACTCCCTGTGGCAATGATGCCACCCACTAGGCCTACCAACACTGGTAATAAAATGAGCTTTGCAAGGCTCAAACCCCCAGCTAGTTCCTCATTACACTGCCAATACTGCTGCACAACAGTAGCCTGTGTTGTTTGCCTTAATTTTTGCAAGAGAAAATTAGGCTAGTGAGTTAGCTAGGCATGGAATGCATCTACTTTTCCCGCCATGCTTAGAGCTTCTACACAATCCTGGTGCCTGGAAATTCCCATCACATGAATTGTCTCCTATTTAATTTCTAACAAAGTGCGCAACCATGCCACAAGTTTTGTGTGAAATAGGAAATTTCCATTCTTTATCAGAGGCAGGCATGGAATATATTTACTTATTGGAAACTTGAGCATTAACAAAGAATAAAGAATAGTTAAATTCAATATCAGTCCAGCTGGAGCAGATCACTTGATGTTCCATAATATCAGCTGAGTTGTTGAGATAAGATACACTTTCATGTCTTCTTCTCCAATATACCTATGTGCACCGATTTATTTATTTACAAGACATGGATAAAAAGTTTGTTATTTTCTATCCATGGCTTAGGTCACAATAGTTGAATTAGATATGAGTAGTGTTAATAGCACATCAGTTGAGACAGAACTGATATACCTTACATCTAACTTGCTGCTTGTCAATAAATATATAATTATTCTGGTCAGATCTTGTGTAGGTTGGATTACCATTTTGTTCGGTAGTATATACCTACTTGTTTTTGGATGATTTTCTTCCAAAGTTAAAACTTTGAATGCAATAGTGTTGAGAAATGACGTCCTCCCTTTGTTTCAGATCTGCCTATGATACTCAGACTAAAGCGAAAGTGGCAATAAAAAAAATTTCACCGTTTGAGCACCAGACATACTGCCAAAGAACTCTTCGAGAAATCAAGATACTGACTCGATTTAAACATGAAAACGTAAGTTGCTTCTATAGGAATTTAAATAATGTTTTAAATAATGTAATATGATGTTGAATTGTATTAACTCAACATTGGCCTTTAATATCCATATTTGAAATCATTTTTGTAGAAAAATTTAAATATTCTTCTTTCACCTTGAATTGCAGAATATTTTAGTAAGCTGAAAGCCTGTCATAATTTTTAATCTAGTATTTTTTCTTGATGTAACATTGATATTTATTTTATTATTGAAATTCAATTTCATTGTGCAAATTTTTTATTGTGCAGGTAATAGATATTCGAGACATCATACGCTCATGCGATCTCAACTCAATGAAGGACGTGTACATTGTTCAGTGTCTCATGGAAACTGATCTATACAAGCTCTTGAAGTCTCAGGTAACAGTATACCCTATATGGCCAGCTGGCCAGTAAAAGCTTTAAATTCACACCTATTAGTTCTACATGCTGGTCTAAGTTAAGTGAAGGGAACTGGCGTGTCAGCTTAAGGAAATGTAACACAGCAACCCATTGGTAATTAGGTGGATTAACTATAATGTCTAACTCCTACTATTGAAAATCTGCACTAATATTGGCAGCAATAACTAAATATGAATGAGATGAAATAGATTTAGCATAGTACTTACCGTATATAGGTAGTGAAAAAGGCTCAACATACAATACAAAGGCACAATATGAAAAAATATTTATGATGCCGCAAACAGTGTATATATCCATATTCTACAAAATAATGACAAATTAATGCCAATTCCAACTTAGCCAAATGATGTAGTATCAAATTACAGCAGTTGGTTGCAGTTGTATATATCCATATTCTACAAAATAATGACAAATTAATGCCAATTCCAACTTAGCCAAATGATGTAGTATCAAATTACAGCAGTTGGAAAATACATTTTCATTCAAAACTTCATTTCAGAAACAACCTTATTGCTTTTAGTGATATTTAAAATTAGCTGACTCATTATTGTATTTTCTCTTGACTTTTCCTCTCACAGAAGCTGAGCAATGACCACATCTGCTACTTCCTCTACCAGATATTGCGGGGGCTGAAGTACATTCATTCCGCTAATGTACTCCACAGGGACCTTAAGCCTTCCAATCTCCTCCTGAACACCACTTGTGATCTCAAGGTAATTACAATCTCTTGATTTGGTATTTTATTATCTCAATCAACTTTTTCATGTATAATCTGGAACTAGGTACATTTTTACTTACTACTTAGTGAATTTCACAAGTTTATGGACTTTTGAGTATTGAATTTGACTTAGAGGTTAATTTCAAATAAAGACAGTATGATTAAATTTTTTTTCATGTGTTGGCTAGTAGTTCATGCATTCCTGCATTTTTTGTTCAGATCTGTGACTTTGGACTCGCCCGAGTGGCTGATCCAGAGCACGACCACACAGGCTTCCTCACAGAGTATGTGGCAACACGCTGGTACCGGGCACCCGAGATCATGCTTAACTCCAAGGTATGCAGGGTCATGCTTAACTCCAAGGTATGCAGGGTCATGCTTAACTCCAAGGTATGAAGGGTCATGCTTAACTCCAAGGTATGCTTGATCATGCTTAACTCCAAGGTATGCTCGATCATGCTCAACTCCAAGGTATGCTCGATCATGCTCAACTCCAAGGTATGCTCGATCATGCTCAATGCCAAGGTATGCTCGATCATGCTTAACCCCAAGGTATGCTCGATCATGCTCAACTCCAAGGTATGCTTATCATGCTCAACTCCAAGGTATGCAGGGTCATGTTTAACTCCAAGGTATGCAGGGTCATGTTTAACTGCAAGGTATGCAGGGTCATGTTTAACTGCAAGGTATGCAGGGTCATGCTCAACTCCAAGGTATGCAGGGTCATGTTTAACTCCAAGGTATGCAGGGTCATGTTTAGCTCCAAGGTATGCAGGGTCATGTTTAACTGCAAGTTATGCAGGGTCATGTTTAACTCAGAGTTATGTGACATAGTTTAAACTACGGTATCACTTGCGGGCATGTTTGTCTAACACATTTCTCGATGTGCAAGTATTAACCCAACCATGACATTGTTTTCACACACTCACAAGCTACCTCTTCTCCTCATTTTCTGTTTTTTTTTAGCATCACTTAAATAGTCAGGAGCTGCTAAAATCTCTTTCTATGAGCTCCACTACGGTTATTTTCCACTAATTTAGAAGCTGGTCGTACCATTCCCTCTCTGGACACATCCACAATATTTTGCGTTTCATCATGCTTCTTTTAAGCTCCGTATCCTCAGCATCCTGTTCATTGTGAGCAAGGATGCTCAGCTACATACGCATTACTTAACTACCTTGTGATTCTTTCTGAGCAATTTATGTTGTAATCCTGAGGTTAATTTTGTTTATCCCAAAATTTCCTGTCAAGCATTGGGACCATTAGAATGCTGGGCCTATTCTTGAAAAAAAAAGTTAAAAGATCGTAAGTTCATCAGCCAATCATTGACGGCCTTTCGAGCAAAATCCACCAATCATAGACAAGAAAATAGAGCGTAAGTACTTAAGGTCACTTAACGAGTTTTGAAAGTATGGCCCCTGATTATAACAACAATAGGTGCTACGTGTTTAGATATTAGTGCATTCTTACTACATGATGTGTAGGTATACCTCAGGAAGTTTATTTTTCATGAAGATTATTTCTCAGGAAGTTTATTATTTCAGGGCTACACTAAAAGCATAGACATCTGGTCTGTGGGTTGCATCCTGGGCGAGATGCTGTCGAACAAACCGCTCTTCCCTGGCAAACATTACCTCGATCAACTCAACCACATCCTGGGCGTGCTTGGGTCGCCCAGCCAGGACGACCTCGAGTGCATCATTAATGATAAAGTATTCTATTTGTCTTTAATATAATTGATGCCTTGATTCGGATGTTAGGCATACCTTTACTTTTACTATCAGCCACAACTACCTTGAGTTGATCCAGCATTGATGAATTTCGAACATTGTTGATAACATTTTGATGCCTTGGCGATGAATTGTGATGAATTCGTCACAATTCACAAGCAGTGATGAATTCACTGCTTGAATTCATCAGTAAATGTCTGAGATTTTTGTCCCTTCATTACTCCATCAGGTAGAAAAATTGTCCGTCAATAATGACGAAATACAGTTATATTGTTCACACTGTTTTGTTATTTGCTTGTAATTGAAGTGTTCACTGAGTAATGCTGGTAGGTGAATTATCTGTCTAGCTCCTACTCCTACTCAATCATTTTTGCTTTCGACTTCTTCTCATTGCCATCTTTAATTCCAATAGATGGAAAGAAAGGCCTAGTGTACATTAGCTAATTTTGACTCGTTTTTGTTATTAGTCGTTTGAGTGTCTCACATTTTCTAATTTTTGCAGGCCAGAAGTTACTTGCAGTCGCTACCATACAAGCCCAAGATCGCTTGGTCGAAGCTCTACCCCAACGCGGACCCCAAAGCCTTAGACCTGCTTGACAAGATGCTCACTTTCAACCCCTACAAGCGTATAGTTGTGGAGGACGCTCTCGCCCACCCCTACCTCGAGCAGTATTACGATCTCGCTGATGAGGTATGAAATCTGATTATTATATAACAACTAAACTGATCTTAAATAGCTGGAGATTACAGTAGAGCTTAACTGATTCTAGGAGCCTAAAGAGTTGTAGTATGATTTTGCTGAGGTAAGAAATCTGGATTATTCTTGGTTATTGTAGTACAGCTGATCTACTCTAGAGGCTTGAAGTATCGGAAAGTTGGCCATTGAACAAACTGTAAATTTTTTCTTAGCCACAGTCAGGTAATGTTACTTATTATCGAAGCATTATTATCCAGGTCTTACAAAGCGTTTATCTCTCATTGTAGTGTGTCCTGTCACACAAGTAGTAAGCATATTTTATGCGTTACATTATAAGGATGTACTCATCGGCATTTCTTATGACTTTCTTGATGAAACATTCGAGAGTTATTGAGCCTATTTTAGGATTTAAACAAGTTGTTTTTACCAAACTGTTTTTTTGATCCGTGCATTACTAATTCTTATCTTTATTTTCAGTTATATTCATATACATTTCGTTTCAGCCTGTAGCCGAGCAGCCGTTCAAGTTCGAGACGGAGTTAGACGACTTGCCAAAGGAGAAACTCAAAGAGCTGATCTTCGAGGAAACGGTGGCATTCAGCCAACGCCACCTCGTGTCATCACAAGCCACGTCTGGTGCCGCAGCCGCGTCTGCCACTCCAATGCAAACAAATTAGACCGCCAAATTAAGAGCCGCCAAATAAAAAGCCGTGTGGGGGGATCTTGTGACCAGAACTGGTGTTGACATATACTTATTCGGCCTCTGGCGTGTAGGCCCCTTTTCTTGGTTTCCTACGCGGAAATTTATGGTTCATTGCCAAGCAGTTTAGCCAGAAATTCGGCCCTCTAATGTGCTGTTACTGGAATGATTAAATTTTTCGTGCACCCTCGATGTAAATGCAGTGACTGTGGCGCTTCACTTGCTCGACATATTCTGGAGACCATTTTAGTGTTAGCTACCAGCAGCTTATTCTGTTAGCTGAAATGCATTTGCGGGGAAGACTCGCGGCTCCGCAAAAGCACCGTATCTCTTAGAGGGACTTTTGAGTGTCAGTCGACCGACGTACCATGAGGTTGTGCTTTGTGGTATCTATTCATGTGGTTGACAGCAATATTTTCGTCATTGCCAATCCATGCAAAGCTTTGTAATATTCACCATTGAGTCGGCCATTATCTCAGTATCGCTGCAATGCTGTTGTCAATTTTATTGAAAAAACATCAGTTTACCTGAAAAATTACTGGCATTAATCGCTTCGAGAGCAGTTTTGATGTGTAGTCTAACACGTGAAGATAATTCGTCAAGTATTGCGTTGGTTGGCTTTAATTTGATCTGCTTTGCGATGTTGCTGCGAAAACACCGCAAATTGTTTAGCTAATTACTTCGTTATCGATGCATCAATGAAGTTGTTTATTACATGCAGATCATATTGAAGTCAAGAAGATGACTAAAATATCTCATTAGTATTATCGCAGTGGTATAGTTCACCAGGAACAATCTGCCGCACAAATTATTAGCTCTAAAAGGATAGACAGTAAATATCAAATATTCTTATGGCTTTAGGTTGTCAGTGGTATGATCTCGCATTTTGTTTATGAAGTTTTCTTCACTTCTCTTGAGTGTGGAACTATGCATCGATTTCCGATGCATTTTGAATAAGTCATTGCTATTTTTTTGGGAGTATCTCGTATTACTTTTTTTATTTCAGTTGTGGGTTTATTGATAGAATGAATTTACATAGGGTTGCCATTTGTATTTAAATCCTTAGCTTTTGAAGCGTAATTTGGGTAACTTGCTTCTACACTTCTGTATGTAATTTTCACATGCCAAATGATTTACTGATGTTTACAATTTTTTTGCACTTGAACTACTGTGGATAAAGAAGCATTTGATGCATCCCTGCATGAACTGTGTATGCCGGGTGCAATTTGTTGTTGTGTCGTAAACTTGATGTGTGCCATGATTAGTCCCTGCCTCTGGCGCATGTGTATGAGATTGCGCAGCATAATTTGTTCAGGTTCTATTGGCAAAGCCTCGTGAAAAAGCCTGTGTTGACGCTTGAATCGTTCTGTTGTTGGCTGGAGTTAAGTGGTGTGCTGTCAGTGAGATGATGAGGCTGGAAAAACCAAAATGAATTGTGCAAAGTTTCGTGGTGGCGGCTCGCCCAAGTGCTGGACATCAGCTTCTTGATTGCTATGCGATCTTTTGATTACCGCCTCATTCGATAAGAAATATTTCTGATTTTTACTCGATTTCAGATGCAATTAAATGTTCAGATAGTTAGCACATTAAACCTATCATCATAAACTAGTTATGGGCACAAATTATGTGCATTTATCACTCGTCATTCGTGAATCTTGACGTCGTGTTGGAACTTTATCGGCATCTTGAACATGATGTTTGTATGTTAGTCTTGTTCAAGATAGTATCGTAGGCATTGGAAGTACGTACATAGGCATGAAGGCTGTGGGAATTTTAGTAAATGCTGATTATACGATGATGGCACCTTGCTACCTGTCACTAAGTTGCTAGATAAGTTTCTTGTTGATCTCGTAGTAGCTCAGCGAAGATTGTTCTGGCGAACACTTGTAAAATTCGTTTCATTTTTATGTACTTTTGGCGTTTGAGGAATATTTATTTTGCTTTTGGGGTAACTGATTAGAATAGACGGCTTTTTTTTGTTCCTTTCAAGTTTGAACTGTGTAACTTTATTGATTTTTGTCATAGAAATTATTTTTTACAAAACGGAATTTATTTGAGGTTTAAGGGGTATTATTGGGCTAATTTACTCAACTATCTTTGAGGAGGTAATAGGAGTCCTTTATGGTTATCCATGACTTTATTGGCAATTTTCTTACAACTACAATTATGTGATAAATTGAAAAAAAAGTGTAAGCGATTTTTTCTTTAATGAAGAGTCTGATTGGTAACTTATCTGTTCTATAGTTATATATACTAGATCATTTTTACCCCATGGAAGTCTGTATAAAAGGATGTACGTAAACTTCACTTTAATGTTTTCCTCTTTCTTTTGGGGTCTTTTATGAAAAGGCATTCCTTTATTGTAATTTCATTTTTTTTCCAGAATTGCTTATGTTAGCAGACTACTGTATGATTCTGTAACAATTCAGCATGTAGAAATCAAGCTACTTGCATCATTTGGCCTGATCTTGTTACCGAAATGTGCCATAGTTGTGCCATGTCCAGCTTACTAATCCTGGTTGGCTCACTGCAATCCTTTTGAGCTGTGGCAACTATCCAAGTACACGAGTGTTGTCTGGTGGAGCGATTCTTAAGATGGTTCTAATAATGTTTGATTGGTCATCTGTTGAGCAATGCTTACTGTCTCGAGTTCTGGATTCGGCAGAATCCCCCAAAAAATTGTTGTGGGAAACGCGTGAACAATAATAGTGTAATGGACATAGTGCTTACGACGCGGGTGCATGTTAATGCCTATTCTTGTGAAAATAATTTCCTCCGTGTTGATTTGCGCTTTCTGCGGTGATATTTTCATGGATGCTTTATCAAGTTTTTGTCCAAGGCGAAGTGGTAGACACGAGAAAATATTTGCTCTCTTATTTCTTCCTCTGTGAGCCCGAACGACTTGAACCGTTTGACGAACAAAATTTATTTCACTTTAGTGCAAAGATACGTGTCGCATGAAGGGATCAAGTTATTTACGTCAAACATGGTTGTTATCATGATTTTATTATTCGATCTGTTGAGGACAAATTACTCTCATTTATCTGGCCTCAAAACTTTAAATGAACTCGGCACGCCTGCTTGATTATTGAATTTTTTGAAGGCGTGAATTCAGAAAAAAATTATTTTCATTATCGGTTTCAGTGTTATTAATACTGGCCAGTTTAAGGTTAGGAATGCATGGTCCTGATACTTGACGTTCTATTTGCAACTTGGAATATCATGTTTTATTCACTATAAGTCATTTGACGTTATATCTCAAGTTGATTATCAGAGACGATTTTAAGGTTACATCGGCTTTATAGTGCCAACGTGAGTGAGTGAAATCGTTTGGTTGCATTAACCGAAATCTGTCGATGTACTGTACTCATAAGCAATATATGTTTTATGAATGAATGTTTCATGGAAACAAACTATTGTTGTTGAGCCAATGTTGTCAAGTCGTTGTCTCATTGTTCTTTGCACGAAACTCTGCTGTTACTTCTTTTCTTAATACATTTACTTCTTTTACTTATTAATCGCATTTGTCATTGCTTCGTTTGCTTACTTTTTCATATGGAGTCTGATTATTAAATAAGAAGAAGGATCACTATTAAATCAAGACATGGATATCTTGAATTATATGACTCTGCATATTTTTTATAACATTTTCTTATAAACTCTAACTTTTCAATAAAATTTTGAAAAATTACCATTTGATTTGACGAAAGAGCAATGCGTATCTAAGAGACGTCTATGATGACGTACCGTATTTGTTGACGTACGTTTTGATTATGAAGTTCAGACTGAAGTGTTGAACCATGAGTTGGCTTTCTCTGAGGTTGTATGATCTCTGTGGTACTGCTGTGTATATGTAGTCACTTTGTCTAGACTGAGTACATTTTAAATGTAGATCTTTTGAGCGTCCATATTGTGCCCCTTTCATCATCCTTTTCCTAGAACTAGTGATGATACTTTAATCCAATGTTGAAAACTGCTATTGAAAAGCATTACCGGTAACTACTGAAGTGTTGATCTAATCATGGGAGTGTTCTTAATCATTGTGTAATTGATAAAATAACTCCTGATAAAACCCCCTTTAAATTTGACAAGAAAGAGGTAGGTAGTATTAATCAGTCGTTTGATAATAGAAATTTATGAAATTATTGCTTAGACGGTGAAATTATTTCATTGTTCTTATTCATTTTAACTCTGGTTTGCAGTGGGTGGATATGAAACAATTCACACCACGTCCCAAAATTTCTTGGAAGAAAATAAATCCAGTTGACGACTCATTTCACTTCAATCTTGTATTGCATACTAATCATCATTAGTTTGCTAATTATACTACGATGTACGGGCGTTCTTGTGTAATATTCCATAACCTGTGCCGTTTTTAATTAGCTTGATGAAATTTGCCACCCTAGAAAGAAAGTTTCTTCGAGATTTATTGGATTTTTACTCGCATTTTACGCACATTTTATTTCATACAGCCTCAACGAGTTGAGCAATAAAGACCACGAAGCTATGGTATAGATATCTGTCGAGCACTGGTGCTAGACTATTGGTTAACTAGTATATAATTTGTGGATATTTGATGATTCTTTAATTATTCCTGAGGACAGGAGCCGTCGTGAGCTGCACTGGACTTCGCTGTAAAGGACACCGCTGGACTTCGATGTGTTGTTGTCTCCAATGTTTGGCGTGCTGTGTTAGCGTTGATCTGTTCAGTAATTACCTGAAAGCGATTCATAATAACCGTAATAACAGTGATGAGCGATCATAATCATAAACGTAGAAAAAGATATTATGATTGTCCCATCATTGTGGTATTCGACGGTTGCGAGCTCGGTCAGTAATTCATGTAATCCTAACCTCTAAAAAATACCCGTTGTACTGTAATTTTTTTTAGTGTCGCGCTATTTGTGACCGACCATATATTATCTTGAAGCTTATCGTCATAGGTATCATATGTCTCATTCAGCAGTAAAATTTCTGTTCTCAGTCATTTGTCTGGCTGTTACTTGTCATCGTGTTGCGGCTCTTCCAATTGAGCTGATTTTAGTGCTGAGTTTAGTAGTACCCGTGTACACTATTTTCCTAGTATATGCGGTATGATTCCTTCCGTGAATTGTTTGTTATTTTGGTTGATGATGACACCCTGACTATAGCGTCTCTTTGTATGGGATTAAATATTTTATGTTTGTCTATTTAATCTTATCATTAAGTCATTGGTAAAAAAAATTCTGTTACGAAATTTATCTTGCCATTCTGCTGTAAAGTATATAGTATTGCATTGGTCGTTTCGCATAGATTATTTTGTGTTCTTGTAGTGGCCCTCAGGTTTGCCTGTGAGTCTGGATGCCTGGGTCTTGATAGCTACTCGCTTAGATACGATGTCGATGCAATCGAAAAAAAACTATTGGGAAATAGCATTGCATACGTGAACGATGCAAATCTAGTAAGCTGGTTCTAATGCTCGTTCATTTGTTGTGTAAAGTTGCATGAGCTATCTCAAAATTCACTCTGTGCGATGAAATTTTAATATACCGTATCGATTGCAACTTATTGTATAACGATGTCTATACTTAATGTATTGTATTCATATTTTTATAACGAGGCTCATTTATTTAAGAATCATTTTGTGAATTACCGTTGTTAATTTTGCTGCTTGTAGTGAAAGTTTTCAAATATATACTTTTACCTTAATAATACAAAATTAATGCATTTCTCTTGCTTAGTACTGACACTTGTTATCTATTTGTTATTTCTCGAACTGTAAACGAGGATATAATTCCTCACAATGTGATTTTTTTTTATCGATAGTGGCTTGTTCTTTATTCTAAACTGCTTACATCTCTCCCGTGTAATATTTTAGTTCTAGTGCGTAGTCTATTTACGAGTTAGCAGTGAAAGCTGTTACCTTAGCCAGGGTATTCTTGTGCAATGCCAATCTCTTACCTTATTCATGATTTTGCTTTTATGTCCCAGCTTACGTTTAATATTTTATTCTTTTGAATTTGGAGATTGTTACCACTCGTTTTCTTTGCTTGAGTTCATCTGTGACGGTCAATTGACCATGTATTCTTATTCCAACGTTTTGCTTTGTTGGCGTTATATCTGAATGTTCATCGCGGTAATAGTTTGTTTCTTTATTATTCTCAATTATGTTTCTCACTGGACTTGCGTCCAATATTTTAAAGATTTGTGTTGGTGAAAGATTGGCGCTGTTACGCAGATTTTAACTCGTTAATCGCTGCAGATATTTTTTATAAACGTCTGACTTGCCAGTGAAGCCAATTCGGCAATTGATCTTCGTGCAAACTTGATCCTCCTCATAATTGTGTGGATCTCAAAGTTGTTGAAGTTATAATTTGTTGGTGTTATTTGTCAAACTTAGTAGAATGAATAGGGACGATGGAATCGTCTTGATTAGGATGTTTAGAAAGCACAGGTGAATTTAGCTAAAATGATAAAAATAATGTTTTGCATCTGATACGGAGAAAAGACCACATTGTTAAAGATTGTCGATGTTGGATTACTGAGAACGGTAAATATTGTAGTTCATATGTCAGGCGTAGCGACCACTTTGTAAAGATTGTTTAAACCTTATTTTGTGTGATTTTACAGAATACCATGTGACTTACGTTCGACGCCTAACAGTAGATTAGTACTTGTGTCTTGAAAAATTCAAACTCGCGGATGGTCCTCACAACTTTATCTGAATTTTCTCCTGTTTTGCCATTCGTTCGCAAAACGTCTTAGCAATATGTGACCTCAACAAGTCCTGGTTATTAGATATTTGCCACTGAAGGATTTTAGTAACTTCAAATATTGACCCCATCAATGCCATAATTCTTCTCGGTTATTCATTGCTTGCTTCACCTTTCTGACTTTACTTCTCTCGCTTGTCTCGCATATTAATTGGTAAAGATGACCGTGCTGCAATATATTCAAAAGTCTATCGAATCTAACCTTGTTGCTCGTTCACCATCTCGACTACAATATTTTCTGGTCATTATTATGAAAACTATCGGCCATCTTCAAAGAAACTCCGTCAAGAAGTAGATGTTGAATTTATAATGGTCCGTGTATTTGTTCTGAAGGATGAGCTTTTCAACCATTTTCACTTGATTAAATGCAGGTTCTGATACTTATGGACACTTCTTATATATAAGAGAATTGATTTATATTCTCTCCAAACTTGAAGTGTTCGATTGGAATAGAACCTGATGATGCATTAGCATCTGTGTGTGTTGAAGGCCGTGTCTTCTGTAGCCTCAAATGCTTGTCGATATGTAAATGTTATGTATATGTGGTTAAATCGATGGTCTTCATATGATGTAATATCTTCTTATTACGTGTTTTTCTAACTATGGTTTTTGGCCATTACGTTTCTATTAATTTTGCAACCTACCAGTTGGTCTGTACGACCAACATTTACTCTGCACTATATATATACTAGCTATGAATTCTAAGAAGACTAAGAGCTTCTACTCATGAATGATTTCTCAATTAAACTTGGTTAAATTCTTACTGTTCAGATGGTATTCAGATATTTTTCCACTCAGGTCAAGTGTATATTAATTTCCATGGGGGATATTGTTGTTCGAATTCGTAACGAAACTATTTATCGATTAATGTGCAGTATTTATCTGTACATCATGACAACTGACCGTATTGTAACGTGGGTGAAGTGGGCTTCGTATCATATATACAGGTACTCAAAGAGCTCACTTCTGAAACAAATTAATTGATGTTTTCACTAACAACATTCCACTATAGTAGTTTAGTCAATAATTCTGGATTGTCTGTGCTTCTCTGTGAGAAATCCTGTAGGTGTGTCTGGAATTTTTATAATTGCGCTTCGTGGTGCAAGAGGCCGGTTGTGAAAACGAGCATTGAAGACGTTTGATAAAAATCTTCACTAAGATTCGCGTCGACGAAATTGCGTTGAAATTATTCTAGTGTGATGATGTATCACAAGTAAAAAAAATTCATATCAACATTTGAAGACTCGCGAATTGCGTTGCATACATTAATATCCAATTTGCTTAGCTCACTAGCTTGGTCAGCAAGATATTTTCCAATTTGAACAATACTTTGATTAGACGTTTGAAATATTTTGTGTGTTCTCTCTTCATTATCGCTGTGGTACAACGTTATTATATTGTTGAATGGTATTAAATCAGACGTCGTGTTCATCGTTAAGTGGCGCACCTGTTGTCTGGTGTAGTGCTCGTGGCCACATGCCTCCATGTCGCGTCGAAAACCCTTTGTTGGAATAACTTGCACTTACCATATCAAATTTTATACGCTTCTCGGACTCCTAATTAGGCCTTATTCAGAATTTAAATTATCAGTAGTCCAATGCCCTCTTCCAGAACTTTCTCCAACTAATTCAATGAAATTTCAAAAGCTTCCAAAGACATGGTCAGCAAGACAGTAAATGGAAACTGAACTGTTGAACAACGCAAGGCGAATGTCGCCTTGCAGTCATAACTTATCTAACTCGAACCTCTCGTCTACAGTGTCATAAAACCGTTGAGTGTCTTTTACAGTTCCAACTTTGTGTATGTATTGTACCTGGCCTTTACTTCGTTGAAAATAAATCCTAAGTGAATTCTGTTCAAATTCCTTACGCCACTGATACACGAGGAAATGGTAAGATAATTGACAAACATTTATTGCTGCAGAGACGAATGAATAGGTGACAATTTACTTTGCAATACACCGACCAAGATTTGATGAACAAGACAACCGGGTATGCACATGGTCTCACATGAAGTCATAAATCAATCAAATTACGGTTGGCAAAACCCTAATCCGTTAGACGCTTCCACTATCGTAGCTGGTGCAAGCCCAGGAAATACCCTAGCTCAAGGTGCTTATGCATGGGGGCGAATAGTCGCGTCGACTCGTATATTGTGATGATTAACATCTTCATAGGCGACTAGCTGGTGCATTGCACCCAAAGCTCCTCAGGTTCTTTTGAGCCAGGCAAGTAAGCCCAGTACCGCCGTAGTGTGCAGTGTGCACTACTGCGTCGCTCTCGCATGCTTCCACCATGCACACTCCTCTCTCTACAACTCCCAACGTCGCACTGGCGCGGGCGGACAGTACTGTAAACACTCACGTGTATAGGATCTCAGCCGGCAAAACAGGGAATTTGAGTAGTCGACTTGATAAATCGACGCCACTACGCGCCCCGTGTTAAGAACATTAAGGCTATTATCATTCGCCTAATCCTGGCCAATAGCATTAGGGACGGTTAAATGAAGGGTTGGTAAGTATTGAACCTAAGTGAGAATTAAATGTACTAGTTGAGACGAAGACCATAAAAGGCGGCCAAAAAGTTGAACTCTGCATTCACACCGTTAAGATTAAAAAAAAAAAAAAATGTACATAGTACAGACGTAGAATTTAAACATTTCATCGGGACAAGAGAAAATTATAAAAACATGAACGAGTTAGTACAATAGTCACTTTGGCAAAAAGGAGCATAACCTGACTATAAGTTCAATATAAATTATTTTATCATCAATTAATCGAAGCAAGCTTAACCTAGCCTCTAAATCAGATACAGTTTTCAACTAGCTATCTACCTAATAAAAATTTGGCCACAACATTTATTATACATTCGGTAGAAAGAATGAGCAACAATGTTTCTGTAAGGATAGAGAGAAATAGTTATAAATTCTGAACTATTAGACATGAAACTACAACACCACAATAAGGTATCGGCTACAACAATAAAAGACTTCATGAAGGGTAAAAAACATCATCTCCATCGACACATCCATTAAAATTTGAAAGACACTAAGCGATTAATAATAACAATAACAAGTAGAGATATATACTAGACGAAAAACAACATTCCAGATCCAAGAAACTGCCGCTATGAAATAACGATTTGCGCAGCTCACATGTACATGAATATACTGCATAACAAGAGCAAAATTTTAAACTATTACTATAGAAAAAAAAGAATTCGTAGCTGCATAAAGACACGGAGAAGTATTCATATTCAATTTATCATACTTGTACCTAAAAAAACTCCTATAACGGTTATAATGGACACAGTGACCAAGCTCTTCATGAAAGTAAACTAAATAATAACAAGAGTATTTCAGCACGTGAGAATGAGCAAATAGAACGACTTTAAATCATCTAAACGACATCTTTTCTAAATGACAAACATTCCCGTAAGTCGACAGCCCTTTAGCTGTGCATAACCAGAACAGCAACTTACCCCTTGTCGCCAATTCTAAAAATAAAACTCTGCCAAAGATAATTCTACTAATTTATTTCAAAGCCACACAGAGCCTCATCATAGACCACTTTTGGGACGGACTTCAAAAGAAAGAAATATTGAGAAGTAAAAATAAAATGAAAACTATTTCCATTCAATGTGATTTGTTACATGCACTAAAAGGGGCATATAGATGAGGTAAATTCAACAGAAATAATAAAGTTATCATACATGCACTTGATGTCAAAGCTAACGAGCCTTCTCAAACTCTTAAGTCATTACGTATGGACTGCACCTAAAAATGAACAGTGAAAATAATTATCTGAGAATTAACAATCGGCATCATAATAAATTCTAAGAATAAAAGCAAATCACGGCACTCAAGACATGAGTGTGTCTGTGGCAGTAACGTAGCTGTCTTATGGACTCGGACAAACAAAAAAAAAAAACAGACATCAAAACTATATCTAACACAAGCCACAGATAAAAATATCCGCGTTGATTAAACCAACAAACATCTCATAACAACATGTTGCGAATCACGAACACCACTATTAAGGATGAGAAGGCATTGAGGTACCGTAAAACAGCCAATGAAGGAAAGACTTTAAAACAATATTGAAATGGTGAAAAAGGATTTCATTTACAGCAAATTTAGGCTCGCATTGCAAGACGCTATCATATCCGGATTTGTTGATTCTGCACATAATTTAACAC